GCGTTTCGACATACACGCGATTATTTTTGGAGGTTTAACGGGGCGAGGGATCGTCTCTGATGTTTTGTGCGTGTTGTGCAATAATCCAAACTCGTTCACAGCTGATATCGAAAATGTCAATCAATTGAGCCGCCCGATAACAGAGCGCACTCCGTATCACAACAGTTTCGTCATTTCATCCCATGATTCCTTGCGTGAAAACTTTGCGCAGTTTTTTCATCGATTATCGAAGAACCATTGAGTTTTCCGTAATTCCTCTTTGTTAATATCCGAAAATCCTAAAATTTTTGGTTATTGAAAGTTCGTTGATTATATTCTTGATGAAAAATTGATGCGTTCCTTAGTAGAGCTCAAAGCAAAATACACTTCTGGTTTATCCCTCGGATGCATAAAAAACACGCCCAAATCGGTTTTTTTGAAGCTTATCCGAAATGCTATAGAAGTTTTGATCTTGAATCACTTTTGGTTTGCTGGACCTAATCCCTTGCATGGGAAAAATCATGCTGATTAGATGTCTTTACGTTTGGTTTAATCGAATTATCTGATTTGGTTGAATGATTCATCTTATTTCACAATGATTTAGTTTTGAATGGAAACTGAATACATATGATTAATATACAGTGTGTCCCAAAAAATATATCGAACGTTTGATCTTCAATAACTTCTCTATACGGAAAGTTTTCGCGGATCTTTGAGGGTCATGCGTTTAAGCTGGGTTCAACTTAGATTTACAGTATAGAGCGAATCATCTATCGCCCTTCATTACTGTAGTATTACGTTACCTTCGACAAAGATTTTAGGCTATTGGAGGCTATATTCTGCCTCGGAACAAGACCAAACAAGCCAAAAACTCTTATATCATGGTGATGGAAGCCGCTGATTTCGAATTTGAAACTCCCATTTTACTGTGATGCTTCTTTCCTAAGTTATCCCCGGTAAATCGTAGTAACTCAATTCCCAGATTTGTCAGAAATGCACTTACACCGTCAAAAAAGCCGAAAATACTTAAAAAGTTGTTAGGTGGAATCAGCATGCGCGAAAACCCTAGTACACGATTTTTCAGATTTTTTGAAGAAAATTTTGTTAGGTGGTGTATTTCACATTGGTTCCATATGCTGGAAGTTCGTACCGTAATCCTATAGTGATGAAAAGCGATAGATGATTCGCTCCATACTGTAAATCTAAGTTGAACCCAGCTCTACCGTATGGCACTTAAAGATCCGCGAAAGCTTTCCATATAGGGAAGTTATTGAGGATCAAACGTTCGATACATTTTTTGGGACACCCTGTACATTTATACTTTTAAACGGAATTCTCAATTTTCTTAAATTACTTACGGACCAACATACCATTCGGACTTAGATGAAATTTTATTTCGTGAATATATGCTTTTGATTAGTAATTTTGAGGTTATGCTATCTTTATGGAGTCTTATGCAATAACCATAACCTCCACAAGAAAGCAGTACATTCAAGGCGTACTGTACACTATGGTAAAAATTAAGGTGATTTGTGCAATTGTACATAATCCTTTCCAATGAGCATCTTCCCTTAGCATCTTTTAGGCATTACTCTTCAGCTGAGAGCAGTATATACCATACTCAAACTGTTAACTTAGGCCATTCAGCCCCTGTGAAAATGACTTTTTGTTATAATTCACTTAAACCGGTGAGAAAGAACTCTACAAGAATTCAATTTTCCCGCGAGTCCTGCAAATACACATATTAAAGTCGAAATCTGCTCGACCATCCACTGCGCATCTTCGGGTCACTACCATATTATGGATTATCTATTCACAACCTTCGATTAGGCAATCACTATTACGCAAACTTTGTTCACTGACGCAGACAATCACAAAGCTCACTTGTAAACACAATTTCGCTCTTAAATCGCTTAGTGAATGCTGCAGACATCACGGCGACAGAGCTTACAGTCGTCATCATAGGCAGAAAATTTGTGTAGTTACACTAGTTTTTAATACAGAAACGGATCGTGGCGTACCTGTCATAATCAAGACCAGTTTTCAACGAAGTAAATAGAGAGCCATCAAAATTTGAATGCAAATGAGCTACGAGCTCGTTAGATGTATTGCAAATAACTTACCTACACTTACATTGATTAAAAATGAACATAAATTAATAATAAGAAACCTCTTTCATATTCTTCCAAAATCTTTCCCTTAGCTGCCGTAGCTTCATCAAATAAAATGCAAATGATCTAGTCAATAAGTTTTTGGACCAGCACTTGCCAAGTTTTTGTTCCCACAGTGGCGCCTCATTCTTTTTATTTGACACGAAATCTCGGGATGTTGCGATTGTGAGATCTTGACTGTTCCCCTCAAGTAGATAAACATACGAATTCCACGGACTCTTTTTTCGATAGCCGAAGGGGCGTATCTGATACGGGATACAGATACAGTTCAAATCAGCAGAATAACACAGAGATAGAAATAAAAATATTGTGTAACATTGTCCGCCCACCGCCGATGGGTCGCGAAATTTTCAAAAGTTGTCTACATGAGTCAGATTTGTAGTGCTTTTTCATTTGCTGAAGATTATAAATGTTTTTTCAAACTTGCCAAAATCCAAGATAGTTGTAAATAATCCTGTTTTCTCCAGATCTGGTGTTATTGGCTCGCCAAAAATTTGGAAAGATTCCAAGTTTTCGAAGAGCGTGACTGACGTCAAAATCCTTTACTCAGAAAAATAATCTTTGCTTTTCTCCCCCCCCCTCTCCCTCCCCGCCCTCCTCTCCGAAAACTTGAACCAAACGCCTTCGCCACTAATTTTGCCATCATGTATACGCTGCTGCATAACGAAGGCGCAATATCTGGACGCGGGCGCGGCTCTATTAGCCGTAGAGCGCATTAGGCGCAGGATTTACAACGGTGAAGATACACGTGCGCAGCGTTCGCGCCCGCTCAACTAATGCTGCTTCTGCGCCGTCGTCATGCAGCAGCCTTTACCTAATCGTTGGAAGGCGACCTCCGACTGTCTTTAGACAAAAATCTGTTCTTTGAATTTCTATACAAATGCACGAGTGGACGGAATGTTACGCTACAATGCAAAACCTTTGTTTTGCCTTGTTATCCAGCAAATTCTTCGTGGAACTTCCCACCATGAGAATGGCACGGATGATGATGATGGTCTCTTTTCTTGTGTAAATAAACGGCAAAGCAGCTATAAACCTACGCTAGCGAACGTTGGCAACAGCTCTCACAATTCCTGGTGTTTGATTTGTGTAGAATTTGTGGCGTCTCCTTCTGTTGTAACTCTCTCTGCCCTATTTGAGCCGTAAGATCTATAACTCAAGAAATGACGTAAGAGACTCTCGTGAATGCGTGGGAAGAAAAAGTGCAGAGCACAATGGAAACAGCAGTTTTGAAATTTTAGAAGAGCAAATATGACGTAGGATTTTCTCATGTTTACGCTGGGATTTCGTTGAACATCACCTCAAACCCTGGCCACTAGTTCACATGCACTCGAAGACAATCACTTCGGATTGATTGCAATTGTACTTTGGTTTACAGCAGCACAAATGAGGATTTTGACGAATTCAAGCATTCATTCTTGATATTCCCATCAGCTCAAGAGCGCATTTTAGTCCTGTTCAGTACACTCCTTCTATGCTTCTCAAGATTGCTCTAGCACTGATGTCTTTCATTCTACACTTATTTAGGCTTGTTGGCTGATTTGTGCAAATGCACATTTTCAGGATGAGGTCGATCTTAGGGTTCACATTTACTTTTGTCATGTTTCTTTTTACTTCTCCCTTGTTTGCAATGCCATCATCTTGGATAGCGTGAATGACTACATATCCTGTATTACATGGTCCTTAGAGATTGTGCACCTGCACACATAAGGATTTTAGGTACACAGCTGCAAAGTCGCGGTGGTTTCCTTCAACTTTCCATATCAGTTGTCATCGGGTGGAGGACATTAGGTCGCCGAATTTGAAAGAGTCCCGCGCGGATTCCCTGCAGGAACGCATGTCCGCGCATGTACAAGGGTGCGTATTTGTAGCAAATGACCGCGGGGACCACCCTTTTTCGGCGACCTAATGTCCTCCACCCGTTGTCATCAAATAGAAATTACATAAAGTAGGGAAAATATTCTCTACATCTACAGGCTGCTGCATGACGAAGGCGCAATATCTTTAGGCGCGAATGCAGCTTCATTAGCCGCAGAGCGCTTCATTACCCGCAGAGCGCATGGGTCACAGGATTTACAATGGTGAGGATAAGCGCGCGTCGCGTTCGCGTCCGCTTAACTGATATATACTGCTTCTGCGCCTTTGATTGGGATAACGTTTTTTTGACCGAAAAGACGCAAAAAATTGCGACGTTTCGTTCTCAAGGGTTTTTTACAGATATGATTTGGGATCAAAGGAGACTACGCAAATTTTGGAGAAAGTGGGGGACTACGTTTTCAAAAAGCCTAGAAACGCACTCATGTCGGGCCATGATGCAGAACACTAACGACATTTTAGGACCTGGCGCGCAATGTGCATGAGTGCAATCTCACACATCTTTGGACGCCTTCGCTAAGTTCGAATTTGTTTTGAACCGAACTCGTAGGGATTTATTCTGCGACTGCAGTGGAAAGCTTCTATTTGCAAGAAGGGACTTGTTAACATACGTTCCATTTGGGTTGACATATACATATTGATAGGTATTTTATATAGTAAACCGCATGAAATCAGTTAGGTTTTTTTTTTGCAAAAGCTGAGTTTCGATGGGAATAACACATTGTTTATACTTTTCTCCATATGTTTACTCTCCTAGCTCCTAAATTCAGCCCAGAATCAGGCGTCATTTCGTGCGTCGAGCTGCGACACACGACCGCTGCGGCGACACGGTTTATCTCCGCGCTGTTATGTGGGTGCTGTTTCGGTGTCCATTTTGTGTGTTGCGAGCTGCGTCTATGTTCCTCATTGATTATTCGCATCCATTCGCATCTGTTTATATAGTTCTGACAACAACTTCATGAATCATGCTTTCCCGATTGCTGTTTTAGGGTTGAACACGACAGGGACATTGTCGATCAGTGCGTTAGTGTCGTGCTGCTTCGCGCCATCCGTCGTCGTCGTCGTTCGAGATGGTGTTGAAGCCGCTCGAATTCTCGGAATGCCTCGCCGATACGCCATGGTTCCGACAGAATTTACACGAACATGAGGCTGCACTCGAAGATGCCTACAAGAGCATTAAAAACATCGAAACACAGTGTCGGGAACTCATCTCCTGTACTCGAAGTAAGTCTATATTTGTTTTGTATGAGTGCAACTTATTCTAATTTGTTTTATTTGGCTCTAATTTCGCTTTCTTTACCTTTTTCTTCTTTTTTTTCTATGTCTTCTTCAGATAAGAAAGGGTGATTATTGCGTAAACAAACTAGTAACTGTTACTTCTTCCGCATCACCGGCAGTCAGAAACTCAATTCGAATTTTGTTTTCGATTTTGTCAGTAGCTCGCTTTTTTCATCTCCTCGAACTTTTGTGCCTTCCGATGTCCTCAAATTCTTTTGTTTTTTTCTTTTGCCATCGTTTGCATAACATGCTTCCTTATAGAAGCCATTTTCAATGAATAGCTTTTTACTATGCGATATCTTTTACCAGCCTGCAAAATGAACTTTTTGCGCCTGTGTTTTGAAAAACTAAGCATTTCACAATCTATGACACGTTTCGCACGCAATATTGAATGACTGAATGGTTTTTCCGGCATATGTAATGTTGTTCGAACCGAAAACTAAGGGTAATCGAAAATATCGATTTTGTTGAGAGTGTACTCAATGTTTTTTTTTTGCAACAGATGATCAAACACTCAAGTTTACAATAGATTTTTAAAAGTGTTTACCAATGTTTTTATGTTCGTACATCATTATTCAAATAGACATGATTCGTTTCGATTATCCACTATCATGTGACCGATTCGGCTTTTCTGAATTAGCCGTTTTCTAGTTAAGTGATTCATAAAAGTGACCATTACTCATCAAACGCGCTCCAAAACAAATTCCTTGTTTTTTTGCGTTTGTTTGCTGAGACTTGCAACAGGTTTCACTGTTAAAGTGTAAAGCTCGACCGTGACTAATGCTTGAGATAACTCTAAATATTCGTCGATCACTGCGCGTTCACTTTGTAATCGGATTTCTTTTCACACGATCAAGAAACAACTAGATCTACTTCAGGTTAAAGCATTTATCTATTAAATGGCAGGTTTGGAGCTGTAATTAGGCTCTGGTGAAAAGGACCACTTATCAAATATCTTTCCAGACTTCCTGATGTCTTTTTTCACATCCTTTTTGCAACATCAAGGCAAATTAACTGTTTCTTGTGTCGTCCATATGCATCTTTCTATGCTTTGTTTTTTTTTTTTGAACTTTTACATAAACATCGTGCAGCAATCGCAAAGGTCGGTCAGTGCGCTTTTGTTTTGACGACAGCTTTCTCTGAAACTGAAATATCTCGAATTTCTCCCTTCCTCCTTGCTTCCATAGTCGTAGAAAGAAAATACGTACGCATTTCTGTCTATCTACATGTTGGCGACTTTAGCACCCTTTTGGTTTTTTATATTGAACAAAACAGAATGTGTGGTTCTATGCATCGTTTTTCTGCTTGAAATTGCTTGCGTCGGTCACTTTGACGTCATATATGACTAATACATATTCAAGTGTCCATTCAAGTCTTCCCGCGAGAGCGATGTATCAATGCATTGTAATTTTTGCATTTGCAGAGCTTTCGCTTGCACAAAAAGCTTTTGCAAAGACGTTGACGGAGTTTAAAATCGAAACTGTTGGAACAACGCAGACAGATGATGAGAGAGTAATTGGTCAGTGCTACTTGTTGTGGTGTTAAATTATTTCTAATCATAATCTTTTCTTATTTAGGAAACTGCTTGAGTGAATTTGGCAAGTTGCTGAATCAAGTGGAAGATGAGCGGACAAAAATCATCAATGAAGCAGAGTCTCATTACTTGGAGCCTCTCAAAAGGTAATTAAAAATTCATCTTGATTTTATGTAACTTGTTTATGGTGTATTATCTGCATGACTGATGTAGTAGTGATTTAGCGGATCCCACAGCTATGTTAGAGTTTTTGAATGCAAATAGCAGTATCATGTGATTTGCAGAACACTAAATCATGGTTTAAAGGTCCTTTCTGCTAGATCGAGCATGGTTTCTTTTTCCTGCCATTATTTAGTGCCTTCCTCTTCATTTGATATCAGATGTCTGAACCTGAAGAGCTTCCCTTATAAACATAAACGCTGAGACTTTTTCCCAAATTTTTTATGGGAAACGCGAAAGAGCTGATTACGATAGTAGCAATCGTTTCGATCATTGGGGTCTTAAAGCCTCGGTCAGAGTTTACGCGTTTCATCGTCGCAGTTGATCGCGACAAGACAACTGCAACAATATCATTGCATGCCGATCTTCGTGCATTTCGGTTGTGATAGTTTTCCAACACGACGAATCGTTATAACTATCACAGCCGAAATAGGAGAAGATCGGCATGCAATGAACTCGTAAACTTGTCTTGTATCGATGAATTGCGACGATTAAATCGCGTGAACTCTGTCCGAGGCGTTGCGGTAGGATTCGAGGTTGTTTCGCGCGAATCAGTCATAGTGACTTTGTTGGCCATGGTCTTGCTATGGATCCACGCTACTCTTGCCGTGGATATTTTTTGTAATCACTAATTGGGCAGGAAATTTCACTAATTCTACAAATCGGCCACTTTTGTGATCAGCATCTTAGAAATACTTGGAGTCAGATTTCAGCTTGGTGGGGCAAAGCAGTAAAAAACTTTCCTTTGAGTAAATTTTTGGTCCAGTAAGTTTTATCGTACGAGTTTCTATACAATTCGCATTACTCGAATCACCAGTTCGGTATCTTCATTAGTGAGTGAAAAAATTTATTCATGGAAAGCAATGAAGCCTACAACTTTCACCTACTTCTACGTAAGACGACACATACTGTTTTCAGATTTCGAAATGAAGCGATCGGACGAACTTTGCACGAGGAAAAAAGGAAGTACGAGAAGGAAAGTTCGAAATTCTATCAAAGCCTTGAAAAGCACCTTCACCTGAGCACGGTGAGTATGAACTAGCAAGAAGTATAAGACTCGTTTACTTTTTTCTTTTATATCAGTTTATCCTCCACATAATGTATTCTGCTCCAAGACTTGTGTTAGCATCTTGATTTTTGCTCAATTTGAAGGCACCGTCCACCCAAATTGGGGTTGGTGAGATTATGATACCTAGCAAATGCGGGGCCCCCAACTGTATGATTGCCCACTTCGCACTGCCTGAAGTTGCTCCCGAACCGAGAAAATTGCTTCGGAAATTGCTTCAGGCCGCATTCGCGACGCTGGCTTCTCCCCTTTCGGAGTGGGCGTGACGTTCGTCCCGCCCATCCGTGCGCGCCCAACCAATCACGTACCGAAGAAATCGCTCTGAGGTTTGAAAACGGTTTTTCGTGGTCTTCGCGGATTTTCAACTTGATATTCGGAATCAGGGGTATGAGAAGGCCCTGGAAAGGCGAAAACGAGGAGGTCGAAATTTTGGGTGGACGGTGCCTTTAAAGGCAGTGTCCCGGCAGATTTTGCACCTCCATCTTTTTGCATGTTTTAGGCCTTTTCGCCACGTAGAATCCGAATTTGAGCTTTGAACGGGCTGAAAAGGCCGATTTTGGGGCGTTTTCTTAATTCTAAGGAAGCAGCCCGGACGAGATTTTTAATGGAAAGTTACGGGAGGTCCTCAGACGAAGACCCTGCTGCCTGTAATTCTTGCTTTGGATAGCATGCATTGTGGGGGAGAGCGCTCGTGGGGTCCCGCGCCGAACAGGTGGGAAATGCCGTCCAAGCGCGCGCCATTTGGGGTTGCGCGCGCCGGTTCAAGGGCCATTTTCTCGGCCCAGGGGGTATACTTTGGGAAATTCGAAATTTTTTTCGAATATTCGAATATCGAATAATATTCGAAAATCAAAATTTTCGAATATTCGATTATCGAATATTATTCGAAAATTGAAAACATCGAATATTCGACTATCGAATTTTATTCGAAAATCGAAAGTTTCGAATATTCAACTATCGAATATTATTCGAAAATGGAAGTTTTCGAATCGAATAATATTCGAATATCGAATACCATTCGATATTCGAATTTCGAATATTATTCGGTTCTCGAATAATATTCGATTTTCGAATATCATTCGATTTTCGAATACTATGCGAATAAATTATGTCAATGAGACTACCTGTGAGAGACCAAAACATCTCAGAATAAATTTTTTCAGGTATAGACATTTTTTTATGTTTCAATTTACAACGAAAAAACGGTTCGGTTGCAGCCCCGGCAAGAAGATGGGTGCCGGATTGTGGCGATGTTAAAGTAGTCCCCCCACCTAAGCGATGACTGATGTTCGGAGCGAAAAAGGGACTACCAGGCCTAAAATTTGCCCCGTAAGTGGCACGGATCTTACGGTAGGTTCGTGAGTACGAGATGCATGCAGGGTAGAGACGCAGAGTCGTTGCGGGACCCTGCATTCATGACTGTGTGCGCTATGCGTTCTCTGGCCTTGCAGTTCGAATTCGCTGTACGGGCGGCATTCGGGTCTGCCGTAAGACGGGCCACTTTGGGAGCAATTTTCAAGCTTACCAGACCCTCTTTTTCGCTGCGAACTTCGTCACCGCTTAGGTAGGGGGTCCAATTTAACATTGCCACAAATTAACGCACCCATCTTTTGGGACGCTGTCTTTAAGAACCTAAAAGCGTACGTGACGGTTGTAAAGGAATTTCAAAAATCAAAGAAGATTATTTATCCTCATTGAGAGATGTGGACTGACATACAGGGGTCCCAACAGTATGTGAATCTGTGGGCTGACATCAACCTAGACTTACAGTATGAAGCGATGTATCGATCGCTTTTCACTTGTAAATCACCGTAGGAAAACTGAGGAGGGTTTTGAGATATCAAGAGCCATTTGCCCAAAAATGAGAAACAAAAAGGCCGATTTTACACTAGGCTTCTAAAGACACTCACTATATAAAGAATTTGCACTCAACCGTAACGCCTTGTGCAACTTATGCCAGGTACATAATAATAGATGTTTTTCAACGCTTTTCAAAAAGAGAATGAGAGAGAGTATGAGAAGAGAATGCACATTTAAAAGGCTCAAAAGCCCGTGCGTAGTAGAATACGTAAAATCCTGCTACATAGATTTGAAATCTCTTTTTTGTTAAGGAAACTTTTTTGGATGTCTCATTTCGCAGTTGCTCTATATGCTAAGTTCATACCGTGATAACACAACAAGAAAACATAGGTTATTTGCTTTCTGCTGTATGTGTAAGCTGAAGCCATCCTTACAGGATGTTACTTAAAGGTTGGCAAAAGACTTCGCGAGAGGTATTATTAGCGATTAAACAGTTTGTACATACCCTTGGGACACCCCGTATATGTTGTGGATATCGAATTTCGATGCTTCGAATTTTCGAATAGTCAATTCTTATAGAATTTTCGAATATTCGGTGCTCATCGAATATTCGAATATTCCATGGACATCGAATGATCGAATTAATGACCATCGAATATTCGACTATCGAATAATATTCGAAAGTTGAGAATTTCGAATATTCGACTTTCGAATAATATTCGAAAATGAAAATTTTCGAATATTCGACTGTCGAATATTATTCGAAATCTGAGATTTTCGAATATTCGAATTTTCGAATCATTCGCATTCGAACGATTTATTCGAATAATCGAATAATCATTCGATTCGGTCCAAAGTATACCAGGGGGAACATCACCCAGCCGGACTGCGCCTAGAGGTCGGTGGGATGACCAGGAACCCCACCACATGTATATCCCCCAGGACCCGAATCTGCCGGGACACTGCCTTTAACTCTAAACAAAGAAACATTATCGCTTCTTTGTTTAGAGTTGAATTTGATCGAACTGAATTTGAGTGTTTCATTTCGTATGTTTACAATTGCTTTTTTTATCTCCTTCGCAGGAATGCGCCATTCTTCATGCGATTATTTTTTGCATGGTGCATGTCGAGAATGTATTATACTTTTTGCATTCACAATAGTTTCGATGAACGACTTGTCCCACATATAGCTTCGATTCGTGGCTATTCAAAATAGGTCTTTTCTGCAACATTCACATTCAGGTGCGCAGAAACGACTTTCGAGAGGCCGATGCACAGCTGGATATACAACAACATAGTTTTTACAAAGCCTCCTTGCAGTATGTCGCAGAAATCCAATCAGTTCAGGAGAGAATGAAATTTGAGTTCGTAGAAACTCTCAGCTCATTCTTGTACTCTTGGCTGACTTTTTACCACGTCGGTACGGTCTTCGTCATCTTTCGTCAACAGCGTACGGTTTTGACGTGTTGCGTTTTCCAGGTCATGTGATCCATGAAGACTTCAAACCATTTTTGGATGGCGTGCAAGATCGAGTGCAAAAGGTGACATTTTGAATTTGAGTTAAATTTTGTTAAAGACATTTGATCTCATTTTTAGACCAAGGAAAGCTACATGGCTACTATCGCAGAGGCAGAGGAGCTCAAAGAAAAAATGCTCAAAACTCATACGAAGGCGGTACGCCATTTCTCAAATGTTCCTTGTTTATGCAATTTATCTCGTTCTTTAGGGTCAAGCTAACAACCCACCTGGAACTGTGGCATCAGGAGGCGCAGAACGTTCTATGACTATCAAACAAGGTTATGTATATATGCAAGAAAAGAGCAAATTACCAAGTGGGATTTTTGACCTCCAATTCCTCAATTGCTCTCTCAATTCTCATTGTCGGTATAAAAGTCTTTTTCAGAGACAATAGGGAGAGATGTACTTGCGGGAAAATGGACCAAATATTATTGTGTATACTCAAAGGAAACTCGAATATTCACCATGATTCCTATTACTGCATCGTCGAAGACGGTGTGTTTTCCTTTGAAGGATAGTCACTTTGCTGCATTTACTCTATGAATTGAGTTGTCCCACAAGTAAATTCCCTCTACATTTCAAACTGTTTTTTTTTCTAGCATACTTGACGCACTCATCGATAGAGCAAAAAGCTTTACAAAATGTCCACCAGAGATCCACCTAATTCGTAAACCGTATCCACATAAGTCGTAGACTTTGAAGCCGAAATCGAGGAAAAAAGTTATCACCGAAAAATCGGGTTTTCGCCAATCCTGTGAAGCTATATGTCTTCATACAATGGAGGATCATATTGTCTCTTGCTTATTGAGCAATACCAAGTTTACTTTTGAAAAACCGACTCGAAAAATATGACTTTTTTGCATCTTCTGGTTTTTTGTTTCTCAAGTGTGGGCCGCCGAAAAAATCTAGCAAATGCGTCATTTATATTACTACTAGCTGGCTTACCCGGCTCCTCCGTATCCGGACCAAACTTGGCACACATACACTTCGGGCCCCGGCGCGTGTCACAGTCCACTTTTCGTTATCGATCGATGTCGATCTTACCGATTTTTATCGATTTTTTCGCAGAGTTCACCTACAGGGCTAGGAGTTGGCACAGGGGGGAAGTGAGCATGGGGATTCCGAATACAATATTAGTTTTCAGAATTATCGGTTACTTTTATTGATTTTATCGATTTTTTGTAAATTTTGACATGCGAGGCTGGGATTTTGCACAGGGGGGTAATCGAGCATGCTGATTACGAACACAATATTAGTTTTCAGGATCGTCCATTACTTTTATCGATTTTATCAATTTTTTTGTAAAGTTTGACCTGCGGGGCTGGGAGTTTGCAAAGGGGGGTAATCGAGCATGCAGATTACGAATACAATATTAGTTTTTGGAATTATCCATTACTTCTATCGATTTTATCGATTTTGCAAAATTTGAGCTAGGGGGCTGGAATTTGGCACAGGGGTGTAATCGAGCATGCTGATCACCCCCTTGGGGATGATCAGCATGCTCGATTACCCCCCTGTGCCAACTCCCAGCCCCCTAGCTCAAACTTTGCAAAAAATCGATAAAATCGATAAAAGTAATCGATAATCCCGAAAACCAATATTGTATTCGGAATCCCCATGCTCGATTACCCCCCTGCGCGAACTCCCAGCCCCGTAGCTCAAACTTTGCAAAAAAATCGATAAAATCGATAAAAGTAATCGATAATCCTGAAAACCAATATTGTATTCGGAATCCCCATGCTCGATTACCCCCCTGTGCCAACTCCCAGCCCCGTAGCTCAAACTTTGCAAAAAAATCGATAAAATCGATAAAAGTAATCGATAATCCTGAAAACCAATATTGTATTCGGAATCCCCATGCTCGATTACCTCCCTGTGCCAACTCCCAGCCCCGTAGGTGAACTCAGCAAAAAAATCGATAAAAATCGATAAAATCGATATCGATCGATGACGAAAAGTAGCCTATGACACCCGCCGGGGCCCGAAGTGTATGTGTGCCAAGTTTGGTCCCGATCGGTTCAGAAATGGAATTTTCTATTCGGAACATACGTACACACATACATACAGACAGACAGACATACAGACAAACAGACATTCAGCTTTATATATAAGATGAGTCTAGTGTATGGTGAGTAATTTGAAGGTCCGTGGGATTTTTCTGGAAGGAGATTAAATTTCTAGAGTATAGAAATTTGTACCCTTTGGCCATTTTCAACCTGGATTACAATTAGTTGGATCTTCCGTGGTCATTTTGTAAATTTGCTTTGCTCCATCGAACTATCATAAGTCTGCTGAGACAGCAAAAACTGTCTGTGATTCAGAAAAGGCTTTACTTCTGGGACAATCTAGGAGAGGTACTTGTGTTTTTTTTACATATACGTTTTGTTTAAAACAAATCCGAAATCTGATATTATGTGCAAATCACATTGCTTAAGACCATGGCAAAAAATTTTGCAGTTTTATGCACACAGAATGGCTCTGGGCAGAATTGCAAAAACGCCTAAATCGAAGTTGGTCAAAAATTTGCAGCCACTATCTGCTAAACGTCTTTGGAAAACTTGCACTGTATCTTATTTTGATACTGTGAACCTTTTTCCTCAACTTAGAAGTTTTTGCCTTGTGTACTTTTCGTAACTCAGTTTTTTTAAGTTCAAGAATTTTGAACCATTTTGCGATATGATGGTGTGATATTTCTAAATAACTTTCCTTTTTTCACTATAGTTATGTAGCTCGTTCAATTCAGCGTTCTCTGTCTCCGTTTCTTTTCTCTTTGCTTTGCATCAGGAATGCAAATTTACATGGGAGGTAATTGATACCATTTTTTGGACGCTTTCCATGTGAAAGACTTTTTTCTTTGCACTTTTGAAGTAGCCACTGTTTCATGAACACTTTGGAGCGCAAATTTGCTGGTGAAGGGGAATTTGGCCAAAATGGTTTTCGTAGTGATAGTGGACTTCGACTTTCCAATGTTCGAGCTAGTTTCCACAACTCATTGTCAGCAACCAGTGGGCTCTAGAGTGTTCCCGCATCGAACCTCAATTTTTCATACATTATGTCCTTAGTGTCTACGCGCTTAAAAATGTGCCTCCCTACAGTGCTCTACGGTGTTTCGCTGCTTCTGAGCATGTTGCTATCACCTCGCTGTCAAGAATTACTTTAGAGGAGCAGCCGCTCACGTTTTTTGTCATGCTAACTGGCTGTCATACATTGAAAGACAACTCATAGACAACTCAAATCGTAACTGGAAATGTGTTCAGACTTGATAACGACACAAGCTCGGTAAATAAACTACACCTCAACGATGCGTAATCAATGATCAGTATTCCTCTATAAAAGCGAAGTACTGCGTAAAGTTAGAAGAGTTTCAAAAATCTCATTACCTTCGAGCAGTTTTTTTTGGGCCCGCTCATTTTCATTTGCGTTGTGCAAAAAAATTTTCATGCTATGTTCGAATAGTCGTGCGTTGGACGTAACCTAGTTACGTTTGACGCTGCAGACTGCAGGTTAATATTAGAGCTCAAGAAGGGCTTGCATTCGATTTTTTACCGTTAAGCTTATATTCCTCTTATTTTCTTTTCTTTAAGGATATGAAGGGCGCCTTGGGTTTGTCTGTATCATTCAAGTTAAAGGAGTGTTTGCGGCGTTCATCAGACAGTATCGACAAAAGGTGGATAGTTGGATTTTTGTATTCCCAGCTTATTTCTACCTCAGCTTGGATGTTACAGGTTCTGTTTTGATCTGATCGCCGATGAACGGCCTGACGTGATGACGTTCCAAGCCCTTTCCGAAGAGGATCGACGGCAGTGGATTGACGCTATGGATGGGAAGCAAACGGTTGGAAGCTTAGCCATTGGCGCGTGCTGTCTCTTATAGAATATAGCAATTCAGGTCTATTCGCCTGGCGCTGGACCATCAACCACTACTCTTCAAAGTTTGTTTCTTTTATCATTACAATTTGCATCTCGTCAGTATTGCTGGCGATGGCTGCAAAAGGTTCAAGAAAGCTGATGATAGGTTGTCCATCAGAAGTGAAACATTCTGCATATGCGTAAGGTCATTGAATACCTTAGATGATCAAGCATAAAACAGGTTGAATTCTTCAGCAGATGAAGAAAAGCCTTGCTTGAAATCTGTTGATAGCACACCTGGGAGCTGATTCATAATTGATTTTAGTTCCAACATACAACTCAAAGTTCAGATTAGCAACTTGCAGATGCAGCACAAATCAACTAATGCCTTTTTTGCATGTTATATTGATCTGATGTACATACTGCTCAGCAGAATTTTCTTCTCTGGACTAATAATAGAGTTCTTAGTCGTGTGCACATGGAATGTACTCGGATAATCGCCGGAGGTAGGAGGGCACCGGAAGGTTTAGGCTGTAGTGTTCCCCTCTACTCCTTTATAAAGAAACGGCCACAAGTTTCTGGAGGCTGCTTGTTGCTTTTTGTCTTCGCTCTATTTTTCTCGCAAAAAAAAATTTATCAAGCGGTCGAATCGCGAACAACTTTACAGAGTTAGGTAGGATGCGGTCTGAAGCAATGGTTTAAACTCTCTCTATAGTTCATTCGTTGACCGCGCGGACTGGACATTATTACGGAGCACGCGCCGCGAGTTAAAACGCTTGCCCCAGTACAAAGTCGCCACTGTACAACTCGTGCTCTCGCAACATTTTAGCCGCCCCGCGCGTGGTCGGCAGCGTTTGAGCAGTCCCTACGGTCAACGAATCAACGATACCTTTTACCCCCGCGATGGTTTAGGTCACTGGCGTATCGAGGAGTGGGGAGGTTTGAAAGTTACGTTTGGGGCATTCAAAAAATCGTGACGATGGCGCGACCGCGCTCGACACGAACGCACTTCCCGGCAACTGCATTTTCTAGGTTTTCATCTCTACTCGAATGGTTTCTTTGCTTACTTTTGACACTATTTAGACATTGGAAGAGACTGTGCTGGGAATTGAGGTGATGCCGTTTTGTATGTGTGTTTTTGCTCCTGCGGGCGCAAAGACCGCAGTCAAATCCGTCGTCACGATTTTTACAAGCAACCTATACATGAGTTATAAAAATGTGCAAATGACTTGTTTGTACTTGTAAATATTGGAATAATTCCTAAATATTCTTAAAAATTCAATTTAGCCAATTAAAAAAATTTTCTCGGGGGCGTTTCGGGGTTATGGGCACGCAAAAATTTTGAAAAGCATACCAAAAATTTTCTTCTCTACTTTTTAACCCCCCCCCCTTTCCGTGTCATAAATGATCTAATGTTTAATTGCTGTGGCTTTGTTTCCGCATTTCCAAAACCTCGGAGGCTTTAATGTACGTTTTATTCAACTCATCGATCAAAATAAGTTTTTTTTTCACGAGATCTGTCCATTTTTCCCATTTTGCAGCGCCCTCAATATCATTGTACCTGAATAATTCGTATAGTGTTAGAATAGAACAAAGATATGAGAAACCTTGATGTCGACATATGTGCGGGCGGTGGAGAACGCGAGAAATCACATGCTTAATATATTCAGTTGAGACTTCAACTTTGTGTACTTGACGTCACTTGCGGTTCCTATGTCAGAAACTGGATGTTTTATCCTTTGTCGCATTTCTCTTGGTTTTGAAATCACTTGCTGTGCTCTGCTTATGACAGATTCTTCAGTTCTCAGCAAATGAATCCGCTAAATAACTTAATCCGCTAAACTTCGAATTTTTTGTTCCTTCAAAAATCATTCTGGATTTTTTTGGGGCATTCATAGGATTGTCAAGAGTCAAAAGACGCGATAATGAATAGTTCCTTTTTGGTAACAGTCGCTAGCACTATAAATTAACAGAATCTTTTGATAGTGACAAATTTTGATAATTTTAACATCTCATGCCAAAATTCAAGCAGCCGAAAGTCTTTCAAGCTCGAGTTAATTTATACATCCAAGCAAGCCTTTGCATATGCAAGACTTTGAAATAGTTCTTGAACACGTGTACAAGCGGCTCTAGATAATTGAGATGATCCTGTTTATTTTAAGGTGGAGGTGCAAAGGTAACGACCCAAAGTCGAACGTTATGGAAAAATCACTGAAGTTGAGAAAACCTTTTGGAAGAGTAGTTCAGAAATGATCTGTTCACTCAAAGTAATTTTTATATAATGTTTGACTTCAGATTGGTACCTTTCTTTTCCCGTGCTTCTGGCAGCAGGCAAAATGCTGTAAAAAACGTGGTTGATGTCATCTGGGTTCAAGTTTCCTTTTCTTTCTTTCGTGATTCAAGATCTGAGCTCAAAGTTCTCTCCCAACCCTCACTCGTTCCCAGGAAGCAATCGTTTCGAGTACGCTGAGAGTACGGTGGGAGCGAGAGGGGAAAGCGGGACTTTCTGGATTGGATTGAGTAGTATAAGGTTGGTTTATACTGATTGGGAAGTTACGGAACAGTTTCCAGCACAGTTTTCGAATTGTGCCGGAACTGTGCTGCATGCGCTGCAGCCGCCCGTATGTGGTTTTAAGCGGTGGGAGTAGGAGATTTTTTACAGTTTTCAACGGTTTTTCAGTTGGATTCCTTTCATCTCGTTCTCATTCCTTTCCTTCGCTTCCTCTTGTAATGGAAAGAATCTTGATCTTGAAGCGGAGGAGAACGAGCTGTGCTTCTGTGTATCCGGGAGGATGTGCCTTCGTGCGCTTGTCCATTCTGCCTTCGTTTTTTGTTCAGACCTACTCCATTTGTTCCAGGAAGCTGCTGCGTATTTTCCACCCATTTTTCTTGAGTCAGGTCATGCGAACAAATCTGAAAGTGCGGAGAAACGGGACTTACCTCAAGTTTTCCGATGATTTTCACTTTTAAGCATTCTCAGTCTCTTTTCTTTTCCTATCATTGCTTATCCGTTCGTTCTTCTACATCGCTACTCCCTGTGATTAGAAAGCTGCGAACGTGAAGCGGGGTTGAATAGTGAACGCTATTCTGCTCCATGTGTCCGGAAAGATGCGTCTTCTTGCGCTCGTCCATCTAGTCGTTAATTTCTTCCTCCTCTTCAAGATCGAGGCTCTTTCCATCAAAAGGGGAAGCAGAGTAGAGGAACGAGACCAAAATGAATGCATTCCGAATGGAAAAACCGTTAAAAACGGTCAAAAATCTCCAAATCGCGGCACTCAAAACAACATGCGGACGGCTGCAGCGCAGCAACCAGGCCCGGCACAGTTGAGTGCTGGAATTTTCTGATCGTTATGAACCCAGCCTAAATTGCCGTTTCAGGCAATGGCTTTGTGAAACCATTCAATCACTTTCCACACGTAAAATTCGTGTACTCAGACTTCGGGCTTTATGTACTCCCACATGTCTACTAATTCACGATCCACAACGACTGCAATCAACTATTCAACAAATTACCACAGCACTTGCAGTAAATCTCTTGAGCTATAACTCGAAGACAGATTAGCCCTTTTTGCAGGATTATAAGCTTTTCATAAAAAGTGTAGCCTTCCTCATGAAAAGAACCGATTATCTTTGACAACTTCAAGCTACTTTCAAAAAGAGCTACAATTCCAGCAGTGGGGAGGCTAGATCTTTATAAAGCTTATATTTCATTTTGCAAAAAGGGCTAATTTTCCGTTGAGTTATAGCTCAAGAGATTTACTGCAAGTGCCGCAGTAATTTGTCGAATAGTTGATTGCAGTCGTTGTGCGTTTAACATGCGGAGGGCAGTTAATGTGTCGGTTTAGTGGCTCAGGCTCGTCTTTTATGTGGCATCACGGCTTGCAGAACTTCGCTCTCTCTGCTTTCGACACTATTGTTACTTTTTTGCCAGGTTCTTCTATTCTTCCATTGGCAGATAGCAACTCTTGTTTCTCTACTTCCAATCTAAGTAGAATTTCTTGATCAAAATAGAAGGAGACCAAAGATTGTTGAAAAAATTGTATAACAAACTGAGTGTTCGACAAGATTCTTTTGCCTCCTCCGCTGCTGACGTTGTACTTTTTGCCTAATTATCTCAGCTCCCACCCGCTTTTCTTTGCGTTCGCAGATTTGCTGGGTACAAATTGGCTACAAATTGTTTGCAAACTGAACTTTCAGTAATTGCGTTGTTAAAAATATTCTGGGCTTTGACAGTGACTCTAAATGTGGGCGGCTCATCGCAGTAACAAATGTGGCAGCCTTTGTTATTCTGATTTGTGGTTCTTCTACATAGGCTCTTCTAAATAGGTCAAATTTCATGACCATTCGTTTTCTGCTTTTGAGCTAAACTTATCGCCTTATTACCACAGTTTAACATTTTTTCCCAGATCGTATGATAGCTTTTCAGAAAGAAAATGGGCTATGACTGAGACGTAGTGGTCTTTCGAGGTATTTACTAATAATATGCAGTCTAGTTAGGTGTTTAGTTCGCTCGCATATTTCGGAGCGAATTTTTCCAGATCTGGATGTTTTCGTGGATCTCCTTCTCCTCTTTTTTGCAGTGTCGAAATCGAAAATTTTCTGGAATTCTCGAAAAGGGGGAATTGAAGGAAGAAAATTAGCAAAGTAATTCAGAGCAGTAAGAGGCATATTTTGCCTAATCCAATAGAGAAATGAGAGCTGTTACCTTAACGCATGAACGCACCAGATGAAGAAATAATCAAAGACTGCGTTATCGAGCTTTTGTACATCATTGGAGCAAACAGTCACGTTTGGGTTTTCCATTGCTCACGTAAAGCCAAGAACGAAAGCGATACTCTTTGATATGGCCCAGTTTTCTTGTAGCGAGTTCCAGCATTTTTGCTTCTGCCGGTCGAGCGCCAGTCACACATATCTATCACCGTTTAATCTCAGCCTTGCGAGTATTAATCGAGATTTGGTGTTTTTTTGTTGCTTGTTGAGGCTGCTGGACTACGAATTTTCTTCCAATTTCAAGCAATGAGGGGGTGGCGCTTTTCTTGACATTGCCAAAATCAATTTGCCGGCGCCTATGTAGGAGTTGTAG